TTCTTCTTCTTCTTTTTCTTCTTCTTCTTGTGGTTGTTGTTGTTGTTTTTGTTGTTGTTGTTGTTGCTCTTGTTGTTGTTGTTGTTGTTGTGCAGTCGCCAGCGTGGAGCACGACTATGGCGCCCAGGTAAGTACGGCAGTCGCAGGTATGGCCTCCACTTATCTTGTTGTTGTTGTTGTTGTTGTTGTTGTTGTTGTTGTTGCTGTTGTTGTGCAGGTCGCCAGCGTGGAGCACGGCTATGGCGCCCAGGTATGTACCGCTGACGCAGGTATGGCCTCCGTCCCTCTTGTTGTTGTTGTTGTTGTTGATGTTGTTGTGCAGGTCACCAGCGTGGAGCACGACTATGGCGCCCAGGTGTGTACCGCTGACGCAGGTATGGCCTCCGTTCCTCTTGTTGTTGTTGTTGTTGTTGTTGTTGTTGTTGTTGTTGTTGCTGTTGTTGTTGTTCTTGTTTTGCAGGTCACCAGCATGGAGCATGGCTATGGCGCCCGGGTAAGTACCGCAGACGCAGGTATGGCCGCCGCCCTTCTTCTTCTTCTTCTTCTTCTTCTTCTTCTTCCTCTTGTTGCTGTCGTTGTTGTTGTTGTTGTGCAGGTCACCAGCGTGGAGCACGGCTACGGCGCCCAGGTAAGTACCGCTCACTCAGGTATCGCCTCCGCCCCTCTTCTTCTTCTTCTTGTTCTTCTTGTGGTTGTTGTTGTTGTTGTTGTTGTTGTTGTTGTTCTTGTTGTTGTGCAGGTCGCCAGTGTGGAGCACGGCAATGGCGCCGAGGTAAGTACCGCTGACACAGGTACGGCCTATGTTACCGCGCGTTCATTGAACGCGGGTTTTCCGTTCAGAAATTGGACGGAATGAACGCGCGTTCAGTGAACGAGACCGAACGCAGAGTTCAATTCCGCGCGGGCAAAAAAAAAAAAAAAAATTTATGAAGAAAAATACAATAAACAACTTTTGCCTGAGAATCACATCCAAATTTGCTATCAAATTGGAAATAAAAATAGAGAACAGAAAATAGAAAAAAGTAAAAAAAGAATTGAAATTAGTGGGCGAACA